AATCGTGTACAAAGAAGTTATTTTGGCACAGATGACTACTTCACACATTTTATAATTTATAAAGCAGAAAATGACTTTTAAAGGCCATCATATTTTGAAGGACTTTCTAAAACCCAAATACATAAAGACATAACATCATATTTCTCCTATTTAATCAGGGCATTAATTTAAGATATAAAATTAGTTCTATGATCTATAACAAACGCAAAACCCCATCCTAACATGCAGCAAACACTTTTCCACAAAACAATCCATTAAAGTTTGAGATGCTCTCTTTTCTAATGTCCTGTGGCAGCTCGCTTTGCTCCAGCTTTTCCATTAGCTTTTACGTAAAGCGGAGAAAGAGGTGGATAACTGCTTAAACTGCATTATTTTTACCTCAGCAAATGAGGTTATGTTTTCATCGGTGTTGGTTTGTCTGTTTCTTTGTCCATTTTCAAAATAACAAAAAAAGTTATGGGCGGATTTTGATGAAATTTTCAGAGAATGTGCATATTGTGACTGGCAACACATGAGTTCACATTGGTGATGACCCAGATCACCATCTGCATCCAGGAGTTGTTTGAAAAACTGTGAATATAGGTATTCATTTAAGGTGGAAGTCACAATATTTTTGGGGAAAATTAGCAACTTAGTGGAGGTTAGTTATTACTAAAGACTTTTACATAATTGCTCTTCAATAAAAATGTCCAATATCTTGTTTAAATCCCTTTTCTCTTCCTCAAAATCGACGGTTATTGTTACAAGTTAGTTTCTTTAAAGGTTTTTTTTTTTTGTAATCAGCTGCTCAACACACAGCTTTCCAAATATTGGCAATTAATGGATTACCAATCTAACAGAATCTAATTTATACATTTTATAAATGGCTCCTAAATGGTAAAACTAAAGAAAAAGCGTAAGCGACTTACTTTTGAAGTATGTTGACAACAATCTGTCATCTAAAACTGTGAGAGGAACCAAAAACAGACAGATTAAGAGATTAAAGTACTGCCATGCATGCTGTGTTAACAGAAACACAGCCAGAGAAAACATACATGCTGAGAAACAAATGGTTACCTGAGGCTCTCATTTTTCTGATCTCCAGAGTGTTAGCTGGTCTTTTTGGTGATTCTAGGGTCCTTTTCACAGCTATATCCAAATCATCCATAGCGTTGTCAACAGATGCTTCTTGGCCTGCAGGGACTTTAAACTCCGACAGGTAGTAGGCAATAACACTTCCCTCACTGGAAACATCAGCATCAGAAACTTGTTATTATAGTCACCAAGCTTACTAACAGGATTATTAAAGTATTTTTGAATTTCATTCTAAACCTCATGTGAGATAACATAAAAAATAAACGAAATAAATCCCACAGGATTAAAAGTATCAACAGGAAGAGAGATCAAGATTTCTCATTCCTCCATCTTCGGTCATACCTGAATGCTTGAACAACAGAGCCGACATAATATTTCTTCAGCTTTGGGTTGTTGCTGTAAATGACTTTTAGCTATAGAAGTTCATAAAGAAAAACACAAAAAACACATAATTAAAAATTGTAATTAAAAATGGGAATACTTTCTCCATACACTGAGAAAGAGAGCCTGACGGACTTACGTCTCGTAACACCTGCTGAGCCAGAGCCTTGAACTCGGGAGAGCTGGAGTTCTCATAGGCGTTTTCAAACACCTGGTTCTCAATCGTCATTGATCCACTGTACATCCTCTTGTTTATCTGTTCTTTACGGACTGAAAAGAACACAAAACAGAAGATAAGTATGCACATCTCAACTCTTTTAGGTCAGATGTGTGACTTATAACACAGCAGAATTTCACAGTTGATACAACCCACTCTGGCATTTATACATAAGAACTAACAACTACAAAAAATATGATTTAAGTATAAATAAGTTATTTAAAAAAAAAACGCTTGCACTTTCAATGAGACTTGCTCCTACAATTTAAAGTGCTTTAACAAGATACTAGAGACAGTCTAGGATTCCTAGGAGATTTCAACCTAGTTTTGCCCCTCCCACACCTGTTGCTGTGGAACTCTGACCAGCTGGGAGAAAATCACTTGCATTGAAGAAAAAAAAAAGAGCTAAAAAAAACCCACAAAACACTTAAGGTGTGCAAACTAAAGGAGCTACAATCATTTAGGAGACAAGGAAAGAAAGTGGGTAGGAAATTCAAAGAGGTTAGAAGAAGAGAACAACACATAGAAGGAATGAGAGAATAATACAACAAAGGAATGAGAGAACAGTAACATGAAAAAAGACTAGGAAAGGAAAGAAAGGAGTCAAAAATGTGAGCACTGCTCTGATGGCAGAATCATGTAAAATTTTAAATGTATTTATTTATTATCCTTGTGAGGTAAAATTCTGAAGCCCTTGGCCAATGTTTTTTTAAATGCTACATGAATAAACAAAATACAAAGAGAAAGAAAGAGGGAAGGAGAAAAAGAAGGAAGGATATAAAACATGGAAGGATAGAAGGTTGGACAGAATTTAGACAGAGGATGGGAATAGTAAGACCTGGAGAGTTCCATTACTTTAAGAAGTGTGATGATTGACCTATAGTTTAGTTAAAGACCAAAAGGCTTTTTAGGATTTTTTGTTTTAATTTTGTACTTATTTTTAGTAACCTTCTTGAGAAGCAGTGGGAATGGTCATGGGTTATATTTGAAGTAAATATGGATGCGTCACTTTGTGGTTCCTTAGATTCATCTCTGTTTACCTTGTAGTTTATCAAGTAACTGTCCACCAGTGGGCCCTAAAGGCTTAAGGCATAAATAGGTTTCAGCTGAGGCTGACTGTTCAGGGGTTAATAGTATACCTGTGTAGCTGAGAAGCACTGACCTCTTCCTGGTTTGACTCCTTCGCAGGGCGTTGCAGCAAAAGGGAGGGATTTGCTAAAAGAATTGCTTAGAAAATATCTTGGAGCAAACGGTGGAAAACCATGTGTATTTAATTTTAATGATTCATTTTCAACTGATTGATGCTGTATGGTTTGAGGTGCTAGTTTTGCATAAATACTGTTTGTTTCTAGTTTTCCTTGTCCCTGTATTTTTCCTTTAAATGACTCAGAGCAGACTGGTTAAACCAGCCAGTTAGCTGCTTTCAGTTTAAGATTTTTTTTCTTACTTTTTCTGTGTTCACACAGGCCATGAAAACACTTAAATCAAATCTCAAGATCCTCCACATACTATTGTTGCTTTGTTACTTACGTCTGCTCTTTAATGATGGGGAGGTTATATCAAATAACACTTTTTGATTCTCCTCAAAAGCAGCAGGAGCAGGAGTATTGAAGGTCACAAGGTCGCACAATGTCCCGCTCTTTTAAAAGGTGATAATTCAGCCATCTGAGGCAGATGTTTGGGAGCAGAGACGTCTAAAAGGTGCAGGATACATGACCTTGACAGCATAGGAACTGAACTGACCCCTGCTCTCCTGAATGTGTTTAACTTTAGTAACTCGATCCATTTTGCAGAGAACTCTTTGGTGCCTAAAAAGATGTGAGGCAGTAAGATTTTAAACTCTTGATTAAAATAAATGTTGTTGTTATAATAGTCATCCAAGCAAAGGTTCTTAATATCAGGCTCCATTAGCTAATATATATATATATATATATATATATATATATATATATATATATATATATATATATATATATATATATATATATATTATTATTTTTTTTTTTTTAACAGTGTCCTGTCTGGCAATGTGGCAATAAGAACAATTGTCTGGATGCCAAAAAGAGCCCAACAGATTTTACTTTCACAAGTGGAGAAGTTGGGCTATTGCCATAGTGTTCTGCTTGATTTATGCATAAAAATAGCTTTATTATAATTCATGCAGGGAGTATTAGAGATTATATGGACACTGCAATTGGAAAGTAGAAATGAAAAACAAGAAAAAGGAGAAAAGATGAAAGAAAGAGGAGATAAAAGGGAGACAATGATAAAACATGTTCAGTCTGCTTCATCACCTGCAAAGAGATGTAAAAGAACAGCAAAACCAATGGCTATAGCATAAGAGATACAATAAAGTGGCACATTGATACTATCGCTAAAGTATAAGTAGTATTAATTAATCGGACATGTATACTGTGGTAGCTGAAGATAAGAATGTGGGTTTTCTGTATGAAATGAATCTCTAAGTACCTGGAACCAAGCACCTGTAGTTGTTTGTGAGAGTGCACTTGTGCATGTAAAGTTTATCGAAAGGAAAAATGCTCAATAGTGGTTGTGAATAGCCAAAGACAAACCACCCCCACACCCCCCCCGCCCCCCAGAGCACCAAGGCAGGCGCCAGGGGTCCAAAACCTCAGATGCCAAAACGGACACCCAGAGCAAAGGCGTCCAAGAGGGGCCAACCTACAGTAGGAGAGACGATGCTGAGGAAATCCCCCAGCCGCCGAAATGCCGAAGCCCCCAGGAGAAATGCAGTTCAAGAAACACTTTCTCACACCCTACTGATCTAGGTAACACTTTCTTTTAGAGATGCTTGAATATCCAAAAAGAACTCAAAGTCCATCATTTTAGTCAAAACTAAACTAATTTGGCATCACAAATACTCATTAACATGGGAAACTTACATTTGTTTTACTTAAGAGGATTTAGGATTAGGATTTTTTTTTATGCTGAATCCATGTATTACCACTGGCTGATATTAGCAAATGGTTAACATACAGAATAACATGTTAATAGTTCTACAGCATAATGTCCCAGATTGAAACACTAAGAATGTTAACATCATGCAGGCAGGAAGTGACATCAGTCAATACAGTTTATGTTAGTCTTCCATTGGTTGTGAACCTCACTTAAAAGAAAAAAAAAAAAAAGATGCGGTTCATCTTTCTAATCCATTAATCTGTTATATAATCTGTTATATATATATATATATATATATATATATATATATATATATCTATCTATCAAGGGCGTAGTTTTGATTTCAACTTTGGTAGGGACACTATTCTTCAGTTTCATTGGTCCTTTGCAAAAAATATGCATGCTCTTTTTATGCTTAATGTGAGCTTCAGGGCTCATTTTGTTTAAAGAGAACAGCAGCATTTCTTGCTACATTAATACAAATCTTATAAGCACTACATGCACTAGATGCTGTTTATCAATATTTAAAGCATCACTGGCTCTGATGAATGTGGAATTAGGACTTTTTCCACTTTGAAAAGGATTGCATTTAAATTTACCTGCGACTAAGACTGTGTCTTTTTAACCAAATATAGTCTATAATATGTGGATTTATCCTGTGTTTTCTTCTGAAGATATAGAATTGTGCAGAGGTAAACCCCACTCTTATTTTTTTTTATCTAATATGCTCTCTCTGGATCATGCAAAATAATACATTCAAGGGACGGCAAATAAATGTATTGTATTTACATGTGCACTGGAACTGGGCTGTAGTTACTCTGTGTAGCTAATTTCATGTATTTTATCTGTGGCTGAAACAATCATATTAACAAATTATTTAAATAATCGTGAACTAATTTAGTAATTGATTAATCGTTAACTGGAGTATAGGGCCACTTTAGCCGACAGAGCGACCCACTTAGAGCAGGAATTATACCAAAATTGTAAAAAATATGTAAACATTTTGCATTTAAGAAGTAAAAAAAAAATAGTTTTTGTCTGTCAATATTCTCCATCCAGAACTCCTCCAAAGGAAACGTTTAAACGTTTCTGTTTCACCTGGTTTAATTTCATAAAAGAGCTTCTTTAAGGAGCCTTTGGCTATCTGATTAAAAGATAAAATAAAAGAAATCCTAACGTTGTTAACTTACATTTCTCAAGTTCCACAAATCAAAAAACTCTCTCCTGCTTCTTTACAGAACTCCAATCAGAAGCTTTCGCCTGTTTTAGCGTAGATAAGTTTTTTAATTCGGACTAGTTTCGTAGCCCAATATTAATTTATTTTAGCGTCTTTTTTTTTTTCGCGCTCCAAGCACCCGCACGCGCGCACATACAGACTAGAAGACACGCAATCAGAAAGAGAGAAGGCGGAACTTAAGGCAGAATAATCATAGAGTTAAACCGCGCAGCACAGTTGAAGCGCTGCTATGTGAAAGGGACAGGAAAGAGCAGGCAGCTGCAGCTACCAGGCAGAGAAGCTGCGAGAGGAAAAGAAGCGACTGCTGTATAGTAAATTATAAACATGTTGTTCACATCCAATTATTGGTAGGGACAAATAGGTCCGCCCAAAATTTTGGTAGGGACATGTCCCTATGCAAACCTACGCCCATGAGAGATATATATATATATATATATATATATATATATATTACAATGTTGGTATAATTACTGCTCTAAGTGGATTCCTATGTCATCTAAAGGCTGTTTTACTCTCTAAACTCCATTTTACAATTAACTGAGTACTAAATCAATTGACGATTATTGTAATAATCAGTTAATCCAATGAATTGCTTTAATTTATACATAAGCTCACTTTACATTATTCCAAATAATACCAGATATTCCAATTTGACAGATTATTCTATCTTACTTTATACATTATAAATCCGAATGGTAGAAATTTATTACAAAGATGCAGCATAATGAGAAAGTTTTTCTGATTGTCTATATGAAATAAAAAAATTTAACTCAGCCTAACTTGATTTGGGCCGAAAGAATAAAATGTGCTGTGCTGATATCATTTTTAACACTATTTTTGCATCTATTTAAATAAACATCACATACACACATAATGTAATTTAGAACAAATAACATATTTTAGCAGCATTAGAGTAATATTATCAATATTAATTGGGCTTCTTTGGTTTTATTCCTTGGCTTCACATTAGATGGCAGCTGATCCCCATTTAAAATATTAACAGGATGCCCAGAAGATAAGTGGGGTTGAAGACATGAAAGGTAAGTTATTCCTCATATCTTTTACAGCATTATAGAGTACTGACTGGTTGCTTCACTACTCCTAGAAATCTAGGCTGTATTTATTTACTTTAGGATTTTTTTAAACAATGTCTTCTATTGAATTTTTCTTTAAAAAAAGAAAAAAATGAAGGATCTTATCCCTGCTCTTCCATTTTAAGTATTCTTATCCATATTTATAAAAACATTTAACAAAAGGTTAATTAAATTGACTGGTGGAGCAATAAATTTTGAGAAAAATAACCATTTATAATCCACAAGTACATCAAAGGGTCTTAGACTATAAAGATGAAACTGTTTTATCTGTTACTTTAAATATGGACTTAAAATAAGAATAATTTTTCAAATCAAAGTCTTGTATTTTTGGTTGGGCATACAATCTTTTCACAATAACCGACTCCGATTGCTTTTCATTCTGCAACCGGAGCATCTTTTTTCTTTGACTTGTTTACTGGTTTTACTCGTTGGAACTGGTTTAAGTTATGCAACACAGCACAACCATTCATTTATTCAAAAGAAAAACCACTTACAGTGGAAATGCCAGACCAGCAGCCCCGTCATGAGAGCAATAACAGCCACAAAGATTACCACCCCAATCACTGCGCCTATCTTCCCCGGACTCTTTTTCTTCTCCAATTTTTTGTTATCAGACACTTGCAGGAAGTGCTCAGACTCAAACTCCATAGCCTGGAAGAAAAAAAAAAAAAAAGAGACAGTGTTATTATTTAATATGTAAAACTGTACATTCCCCTCGCAAAGCTTTTGGATTTAATATCTGAGAAATAAAACGAATAATTCTTCTTCAGGTTGTATATTTCTTTTAAAAGTTAAATCAGTTTATACTACACATAACATACAGTGCAGTTTTTATATGATGCAATTCATTAGAGAAAATTATATATGAAAAGTTAATCACCGTCCTTAGCAGAATTTCTTAATTTTCCCTGCCTTGGTAATTTCACTTGATAAATAAAATCTTTAATGTAAATTGCATTTAATCATCTGTGTGTGATGTTTTCTGATGAACTTGGAATGAACTGGTTTATCTAACAGTTTCCCATGACCACCTTCATTCTGCATTTTCAACAACTTAAACTAATTCATAGCTACATGAAGTAATACTGCAATCCTGGTTTCACTTATTCTTCTTTTGATTTAAATGAACCCATAACAAATTCTAACCCATGAGCCCTAAGATATTAATTAAAAAATCTCCAACTTTCAAACTGGAAAGTTGGAAATGGGAAACTGAAGCTGAGTCACGTTGGCTGACACTAGGTTGTTGTGCACAGTTTGGGGCGGGGGAGGGAGTACAAAGGTTTCACCACACAAAATCCTGTCAAACCTGTTAAGAACTGACAAGTTCCTGAGTGTTTACTGCAGCTGATCAGGACTGAAAAACAACCGGGTGGACTCGGTACTGGACAGTTCACAATAGAGCTGAGATATTCGAAATACATAAAATCATCTTCAACATTAATCTTTGTATTTATTGATTATATTTGAAACGGTGACACAGTTTGTAATTAGGGGGAGCAAAATGCAACACTTTCAGTTTGCCTAAAGCTGACACTCATGCTGAGCTAAAAGAACACATTGTTCTGCAACTCAGCAGGTAAAGTTCCAGAAACTCATCCTATGAGAGCAGGAAACACATTTTAAGGGCTGATTTGACAGAAAATCCTTCCCAAACTCCAATATTTTGGCTGCCCCATAATCAGAGTTAGGGCAGTATTGGCCTACTGGTTAAAGCAGTGCGCTTGTGCTCAGAGAAGGTTGCAAAATAACCGGTTTGATCCCCACAGCCTGCACTCTGGGTCGCTGAGCAAGACCCTTAACCCCACACTGCTGCCCAAGGGGATCAGTTAAATGCAGAGGTACATTTCTCAAGTTCAATTATTATTGTTAGTTCCATGTATTACATATAGAACTTGTGGGATCTTCTCCAAACTCTATAGAGAGGCAGATTATACACTATAACACATAGGATTCCAGGAAAAACATCAAGGATGAATGAGAGATAAGTAAAAATAGTTTGTAGGAATTATGTATAAGTCTTAATCAAACTTCTTCATTTTTAAATTCTGATTAAGAATAAAAAAAATTAAAAAAGATCAAATTTATGGATTTTATTGATTAAAGGCAGATTCCTTAACTTTGCTCTGATCTTTAAAGGAATAAAAAAAAATCTAAGGCATTTCATCTCCCAGAATTAATCAGAAATAAAAAATTAACACATCCTCCAAATATAAAGTCATTATCTTAAGTAACTTTAACTCAGTTAATCTAGGGCAGGAGGGAACAAGTCACAGCAGGTTGGGGAAGCCTGTAGGAATTTAGTACTACTGACTTTTGAACTGGCAGAAAACATCTAGATGTTTTTTTTTTTTGAAGGAGGATATGAGCTTTGAATCCAGCTTTTATTTGTTGTTTTTTTAACTGCAGCAAGTTCTTGGAAAACAGAGAAAAGGGTGTGAGCAGCAGGAAATTTCTCTGTCACTCCTTTAGGTTTCCCAGAAAACATCTGATACTGAAATTTTTTACCTTCTTACTGTGAGAAGACCTTTAGATGATTAAGATCACAAATGAGAAAATTAAACATTTTCTAAGCTGTTAAGAGCAGAATAAATAAATAAATAAATAGTAAAAAAGTCTTGTCTTCTTTATATTCAATTAAGTTATTTGGCCAAATAACTGTCAAAAACAAAAACACATTTTCCAAGCATCACAATCATTTCTCTTTTTCTTTTTAGAAGATTTTTTTCTTTTTTCATAATATTTTCCTTTGTCTTTAGGCAAACAGGTGTGTTTACGAAAGAACAAGCTGAGACAGCCCTCATCCTGCGTTGGTTTGTGTCTGATTACAATGAAAACACCTGATGACTTCCCTGCAGGTGCGGGTTTAACATTTAGACCTTCATGGAAAAAAAAAGAAAATAAATAAATAAGGAAAGCCAGGATGTAACTGCGCCACCATCCCGATGCGAAGCTTACCACCTTAGGAGTATACTTGGCTCCACTGCTCATGTAATCCATCGCTTCTCTAGTTTATTTTATACTTCAAAATGTCCCAAACGCTGCTTTTAATTCTCCGCTTTGGTTTTTCAGTATAGATGAAGCCCAGGCGGCTGGTTCCTAAGGTGATGCAGGCCCAGCACCCAAAGAGCCTCACTGTAATCCACAGATTAAACAATAAAAGACAATATATTTAAAAAAGAATAAACACGTGCAAAGAAAACAAACAAATAAATAAAAAACGACTGCAATTCAGATGAATCCGTTTCCTCTGAGATGTGGGTCAGTTTCCACCTGTAGCGAATATGAACACCTGAGAGTCTTCAAGGAGAATGTGGGATGAGAAAGAAAAAAAAAAAAAAGGGACCGTCTTCCGGGTTTCGGTTAGTTTCTGCGGGCGTGTCTCCACGCACCTCCCACGTCCACCTGCACTCACTTCCTGTTTACCTGAGAGAACAGAGGCTGCAGGATTAACATGATCAGACAAAGGATCATACTAATCTACCATCATACATGTATATATATATTCTGGACAGAATTGTGATCATTTTAACAGACAGGTTCAGACTGAAATGGCATTCCTATGGTATGGTTTCAGTCAGCTTGCCCACAGCTATTCACGTAATCTTATTCACGTATCAGTTGTGGGTTCATGACTCATTCTGAGTCATCTCTATTGCCAGCATCGGAACCAAAACGTTGCATTAAACTAAAAAAAAAAAAAGATAGAAACTGATGTTCTCTCTAAATAATAATAAAAAAAAACAATAAAACAAAGTGTAGCCTTCAGAAAATGATCAGTAAATATATTTGATTAATTTATCTTCCTTGTATACTTAAATAGTTAAAGCATTTATTAAAAGTCATTTTAAAAAGTTTTCATTGGTCTAGAATCATTTCAAGTTTCACTGGTGTCTCCCCAGAGGTAAAAATTTGGATTTTTAATCTGAGAGATTAAACATAAAGTCACTTATTTGTGGTTTTTGAATTTGCACACTTATATCTGTGAAGCAAAAAAAAGTTAAACTGTTTCAATTTATCTTTGCAAAGATATTGCAAACAATAAGTTCAGATTTACTGACAATAACACAAAATGTATTCTGGAGAGATAGTTTATCTTTGTCAGCATCACTGATATTATTTAGAATTACAACTAGTGTGATTGGGTCTAGAGAGAGACCATACTTATTAAAGAGGCATCCATTAGAGAGGAGAAGCTTTTTGGATTGGATCATTTTGGATCACTAATGTAAGAAAATAGTATTTTATAAATAACTTGGGACAAATGTTGATGTCAAATTGATGCATTTCATAATTTTACAGCCCATCTTAAAAAGAGGTGAACTGAAGTTAATGTGTTTTAATAAAAAAATCAAGACTTAATTTTTTTGGAAAAGTTTGCGGACTAATGTCAAATATTCAGTATTAGTGATTTCTTTTATCTGTTATTTTTGTTTTTGATTCACATCCCTCTTTGAATTATCTTTTTTTTTCCTCTTGAAAAAAAAAGCAAGGATGTAAAAATAAGTTGGTAATTACAAAGCCTAGACAAGTAACTTTGTGAAACAGATTTGATTGTCTTTCATCAAATAAACATGAATGTTTAAAAAAAAAACCTTGTAGTTACCTGCTGTTAATGTGGAGCAAGCTCTGCCCTGGTGGCAACATACTGCAGCAATAGAGCTTTCTAGGCACTTCCAAGGGATTTTTAAACATTCTTCATTGTACCCACATCTGTTATACAGTAACTACACAGCTGACCAGTTTCAGAGCTGTTTTTCTACAGACTAATTTCCTTTTAACACTTACTCTGTGTTGAAAATTGTAGCCAGAGCTTGCAAAATGCCCCAATTTCTCTTGCAATACTTTCAAAGTGACATCTTCCATTAAATCATTAAAAAAGACAAGACACATTAATTTGTTTGTTGTGATTTTATTGATGTGTAACCCCTCGTAACTATAAACCTGTTTCCATTGGTGTTGATCCTTTTTAAGTCACTAATATGCATATTATAGAGTTCCCGGTCCTCTTCCACAATCAAGCAGGCAGTTACAAGATCGAAGCTGTTTGGGTGCATAGTGAGACAGTCACATACAGATATACTGTCACAAAGAGGAAAAAAGAAACTGGAAAATAAAATCAAAAATAGATTTCATATTATTTCATATAAGAACAAAGCACATCACAGAAATCCTCTGAAGAAAGAAAAGCCATGATTGCAACATCAACTATACAGGCATACAAAGACGATACTAAGATAGAGAGGGTTAGGATTTCATTGTTTTGTTTCATTCTCTACCTGTAAAAAATCACTCGTCGGCTTTCTGTGTGTCAGAATTCAGCTCTCTGAGCGCCTCAGTCTGCCTACACAGACCTCCAGCTCCAGCTGCATATAAGTGGCTTCTGATCCTGGGCTGGTCCAGCCTTTGCAGGTAGCACAAACCTTTGCATTCGTGAATGTTTTTCTTGTTAATGTAGACTTTGGACCCTCTGCCCAGTTTGGATTCATTAAGCAGCTGAATACCAGCACAGCTTCCTGCAATAAGGGTGCGTCTCCTCCACAAACTTGCTTCGTATTTTTCAACATGTGTATATCTGGATATGTGCAAAATATGTAAAAAGAATTACATTTCAAAAAGGGAATTTCTCATATACATAGTGCGGAAAATTACATTCAACTATGTACCATTTGGACATCCACAAATGTTACATTTTCCTAACTAACAAAAGGTGTTTGTGTGAATGAGGAAATGAAGATTTTCACTCATTATTATCACTGTTGTCTGTTGTATGTGTGTGTGTGGCAGGGGTGTATATATTATTTCAGCAGTTTAGGCAAACTTTGAGTCTGATTGCCTTGCTGTGTCCGTTTAGCATTTCAATTTTTCTTTTACAAAGTTGACTTTAACGAGCTAATGGCAGAGTAAAATCTGAAGCAAAAGGGTAGACATTCACTCAAAGTTTTTCTGTTTTTTTTTTTAGATGCGTTGAGCTGGGGGTCTGTGCAGATCATCTCCCTCTTTAACGCCTGCCTTGCAAACATTCGTAACCATCACATAAAAAACAAGACAGGAAAAAAAAAAAAAAAACCCAAACCAATTCATAATGTATTCCTTTGAGAAAAAAAGTGGAATAAAAACATCTAATTTGATATATATATATATATTTATGTATATCTAAACATTTCATGTATATTTGTTATTATAACAAAGCAAAGAAATAAATCATGAATTTATCCCCCCTCCCCATTTGTTTCTTGTTTTTTTTTCACTATATATTTTGATTGGTACAAAGAACCTTCATATACAAGCGATCTATTGAGATTAAAAAGAACACATTAAAACACCGATTATTTAATGAAACCCATCAGTCTGCATGGTGAAAAAAACCCAAACTAAATGTAGTGCCAGTTTGATGACTAAAGAAACTTGATTTGTTTTTCACATCATAAAAATTTCAGAAGAAATGTTATACATCTTGATCCGTCTTGATAATTACAGATACATCTTTTTCTATTTTGCGAACTGGCAGAAACATCAGACACATGGTCAAAAAGAGCTCTATAGTACAACAGTAGCAGTAGTAGAAGCGTTACTTAAGGATTGTTCTCAACAAACCGGTAAATGGAGTTTGGATGTATGCAAAGGATTTTAATAATAGCATCATTTGTTATTGGTCAGTAGTATGTTCCCCCTGTCAGAGACTGTCCTCAGCCAGGCTCCACGGCGCCCCCTCCAGGTTCAGGTTAGATCTGCATCTGCTCCAGGTATTTGTAGGTGGGGTTTTCATAGCCGTGGTTCTGCATCTTGTTTAGGTGTTGCTCCTCTGGCGTCAGCATGGGGTCCACCTGGGAGTTAAACATAACTTTTCAGAGGGAGTCAACCATTTTGTGTGATGAAACCAAACAACTTAGGAATTTAATTTGCTCTGCAGCTACTTCTGTGCAGCATTTTTTACACATCAGTTGTAACCTGGGATATTATGAGCGCACCCTTGTTTTTTATTCGGACCCTTACCTCTACGATGCCGTGGCTGATGGTGCCGTACTGCCTTTTTCTCAGAAGCACCAGGCTGATCACAATCACAGTTGCTATGGCCACAGCGATCACCAGCAGGCCAATCAGTGCGGTGCTGCTAAAGCTGAAGTCCCCTCCCAGGGGGCGGTAGGACTCCTGATAGCGGAGCAAAGTGAGAGGAGGAAATTACAGAGAAGAATGAGGCAATGCATGTAAACACAGCTCTATTGATAGACCAGTTAGGCTGGAGAGATGGAGACTCGTTTAACTCATTGTCAGTTAGACTTCAAACTAAGCGGCTTTATGTTATCAGTTTAAAATATAACATTCTAAAAAGTAAGGCTGACATTTTGAATTTATTTCTCTGTCTGAAAATAATCAAATTTTTCCTGTTATTTGCACACTGAAGAAAAAAAAGAAAAGAAAAACCATGTGCCGTGGTTCAGGCAATCTCCAAGACACAACTACCAGCTTCTACTTTTAACTGAACATATTTCTCTGCATCCATCAGCAGAAATGTCATTTTACCTCAGAAAAAAAAGGGTTGTATTTATTTCCTCCCAAATCAATGCAACACAATCTATACGCTTGTGTTTGCTGCAGGCTCTGATCTCATATCTCAGCAGGTGACGTGCTGAGTAAATGATGATCAATAGCAAAATTAGAGAGACATAAGAATACTGAATTTTTAGATAAAAATAGAAGTGCCTAATTTTTTTTTACATTTTGGACATAAAATCAGTTTGAATATAAAGAATATTTAGATAAAAAAATAATGAAATACAAATTATTCAGAGGAGATGATGGGAAATATGACTTTTTACAGATCAAAGTCCCTCAAAGTGCCTTTGAAGTGCAGAAATCAATCAACTAGAGGAGCTTTGACCCGCTGTGCATCAGGGTCAACAGCTAGCTCACTCAGACTGAAGAAGGACAGAGTGGGCACAATCGTGCCAAATGCTGTTTATGGATTACCGGCTCAATTTCATGTCAAATCAACCAAGCCATCGGCACATCTAATCAAATTACTCTCTATCTCAAATCTCATCGAAATATATGAACGACCTGAGAGGGAAAGCCTTGAGCAATCCTTCCAGGTCAGTAACATTTTTTTTAAAAGCATAAGCAACTAAACAATAATTAGTTAAATATATTGGAATAATTCACTTTTGATTACCTTTAGCAAAAAGAAAGAAAACTAGACTATTGGTTAAAATTTGGTGAAAGTCTAGTTGATGATTTAAGATCCATTGTGCAAAACTAAGATTTGTAAAATTAGCTGTTTAACAGTTTTCATATTCAGCCAAAGTCTAAAAGTTAATGATAAATACTATTATATATTGCATCCCATAAAATTGTAAAACAGTCGACTAGTTTATAGTGTTGGTAGTTTTTCTCACTTTACACCTTTTTACTTCAATATGAAGTTCTGATTAGTCATTATTCATGAAATAACAGATAGTTTGTTAATAAATACTGAAAAAGCAGATATTAATTGTTTGATAATCATGTGTTTTGCAAAGTAAATTATGATAAGGGAGAGAGAACTGAAAGATTAAGATAAGAGAGCGACAGACTGACGTCTACCTAAGAACTAACTTTCAATCAAAAGTTTTTTCCCCATTAGCCATAGAACAAACTGCTAATTTTATAATTAAATGACAGTGATAGCCTAGGCTTGCAATGGCATCATCCAGTATTAGCATAGCAAACACAAGCATTAACAATAAGCCATATTTTTAGCTCATATAAAGCTGCTTTTTTATCAGTTACTTTCTATCTCTTGCAGTTGGAACTCAATAAGCCAATCATCATTAGATTCAATGGTTAAGTTGTCATTTTGTTATTTCACTTCTTCCTGTTTTTTATTATTCCTGTGTGATTCAGCATTTTTTATCGCCCAAATAAGAATAAGGATGGTAAATCCACCTCTAAATCCTAATCTTCTTACTCTAAATTAACAGAAAATTCCCACTGACTTGAGGAAACTGGGAAGAAAACTGTTTTCTCATCAGAGCCGGTGTTTCGTCACAACCTGCTTTTCTACATTCACATAATTTGGCACATATGACACAGTCTGATCATATGTGGTCGGAGGCAGGGGGGAATTTACGCAACTCATTCCCACACAAAAACTGAGCCACGTCAGTTTCTGTAGATTTGTCCATACGTGTACATTCTGGTACATTCACATAACAAACATGCTCCCATGCAGGAATGATAAATTAAATTTCTCTTTTTTTTTGCTTGAATAAAATACAAAAATTACAAAACAAAATAAAGGGAGGGGGGACAAAGAGGGTCTGCTAAAACATAGTTTGGTTGCACACTTCTACACTCTCCTCCTCTCACCTTCTCCCCACTAACAGTAGCTGTAGTTCCCCAGAGAGCCCAGAGGAGGGCGCAGCTATACTCACCAGCTCATCACCATGCATAACGCTGACTCTCTCAGCACTGTAAACCACTTCCTTAACATCCAGAGACTCATCAATCACCTGTCAACACAGACAGGGGAGCCCAGGTTACACTCACAACAATGTGTGTGTGTGAGAAATAATTTGGCTTTTTTTTTCCCTTCTTTTAGACAGAAATGGAGAGGCAGGAAAGCAAGAGAGTGTGAATGTGCAGCAGTGTTTAGGTGATGAAACGCTTAAAGTTTTCTTTTCTCAAACTGGAAGGAGAGAGGGAGGGGTGTTGCAAGCATTATTAACATGCAGCGGATTTAATTGTCTGCACACCCTTCTTACAGTGCTGCATATTTATTATGTCAAGTGTAAAAAAAATAGAGCAATCAATCCATCAATAGTCCCATTAGAAAAAAAATGTAAATGATAACATTATCATAGCATCATTTTTTTACGTAAACAGAACACAATATTTAATAGGGTGTTTAGACTTCTTCTTTCCACTTGAATTTTTCCGGTCACACAGCAAACGTTTCTTATTAAACAAATCAGCAGCATCTTTTTACTCATTACTGGATCAGTGGGATATGGGCAGGGCTTTCAGGAGATAGAGAGAAGTAAAAAAATCTTTTTTTTTGTTTTGCAGAAAAATACAGATTTTCTGTAGTAGAGAAGATATTTTATTCAAGGGTAATTTCACCTTCAGATTGCTCCATCTCAGGAAAACAGCCTGTCTAAAAGCAAAGCTCATGCATCATAGCCCTCATCATGCACACAAACATGAAGCGTCTTGGTTGGGTGTTGGCATGCAGAACACAAGATGCACACAGAGGCCAAACATGGTTGGAAAATCCATGAGGAGGCCTGGTGAGTTTGGCGAGGGAAAGTGACATGCAGTGACTGCTTGAACGGAGCGTGGAGCCGATTTGCATGAAGACCGGCTAGAGGAAGCCACACACAGACAGCCCAAATAGCCCAGAGTGAGACGGATGTAACTATGACAACATAGTTACTGGAATAATCCGTCACAGTAAAAGCTGAAATTAAGAGAGCCGTGTGAAAGCGCCTACTAGTTTCATCCGTCTCAATCTTCCTCTGCGCCTCACAGACATCAGGGCAATGAAATGAACCCGTCTGGAGTTTGCTCTGTGTTTGGCTTTAACAAAGCTGCTCGCAGGTCACAGATGACAAACACTTACCACGTTTTCTCCCATCTTCGGCTTGCTGTTGATGATTCTCTCCTCGGCGCCGATCAGACCATCCAGACCAGCCATGGCAGAGCCTTGAGGAGGTACAGGAGGCCCGGTCAGTAATGCCACATAGACACAAACAGACAAAACAAACAGACAAACAGGGGTGGGGATGTTGGTGGCCGATAGCTGCACAAAGGCATCCAAGATCTTTTCGTCACAACTGTTGCATCAGTCGTATTAGTCGACTGGTGACAACAAAACCCTTTCTCCCATTCAGCACAGAGACAGGACAGTGAACACTGCACTGTGCTGCCACAAAGGCCCTCTCAAACTGGAGATACGCCTGTAGACATCTAGATCTATGCAATCTCTCAATAGTAGCTCTGTAAGAGATTCATTTTCCAATAAGTACAACTGCATTTGAAAGAAAGGAGACAATGATTCCATCTAAAAAGCTGAGTAAAATTAGCCCCTGCAGGGGGAGCATGGAGGTGGAGGTCAGGCAGCTGCAAAGGAAAACAGTAAGACCTGTCTGCAGAGCAGCTAAGATGTTTAAACAACCAAGACTATACAATGCAAAGAAAAATGTGATAACTATTAAATTTATATATTAAACTACTCTATAATAAAGGCATCAGATTGGACATTTTCTCTTTGAGGACAAATCAACATCAGTGGACAAACCCTCTAGTTTCTGAATATATAAATGAAAATTGGGTGAGCTGCATCAGTTCAAACATGAATCAAAGTAGTTTTTTGTATTTTCAAAAATAATAGGTCTTTTTTGAACAGCAGTACTAAAGACATGCTTGCTTGTTGTGGCTGCTTTGTCATGTTTACATTTTGACATGCTGCTATATGTGTGAATTGTACTTTGGTGCTCGCTATGTCCAGAAAATGAACTTGGTGGTTGAATTGTGGAGAATCTAAGCTTTCCAATGATATCTAATATGTCCATATTGGTAAACACTTTACCAGTGTAATTTTCATGCATTCTGAGTTATTAATTTTAAACGCTATAAAACGGTGGGTTTTAAGAGGTAAAAAAAAAAAAATTAGTTTCTTAAAACTTTAGGTCTAAATTTGAAGAAATCAGAAAATACATAAGAGGACATGGGGCAAGTCAGGAAAGCAGCAGAAAACACTACAGATCATGGATGATCTGCAACAAACGGGGCAATTCAGGAAAAAACAAGCTAGACTGGAAAAGATCAGTGTAAACGCCTTCTTCCAAATAAACAACAGGCATAAACATGCAGTCAGAGCTGCAGTAGGATGGTTTACATCAAAGCATATTCATGTGTCAAAGTCTGGACATAGATGCTTCCCCCATTAGTTATTCTACATATCAATTTAGTGGTACAGTAAATATAGGGAGGCCATATTTTCGGGTTTAATCTCTCTAAAATGGAAAAACCGTGCATATCCCACTTAGTGTTGGCAGATAAAAAAACATTGTTACTTGTGCTTGTACTGTTATTAAATGTGAAAGATGGAGGGAATATGATAACTTTGAGATAATAACATCGAACAGTAGGCAAAGAATTTTATAAATGTGCACAATCACAAATTCATCATAGACAGAAAAGTCTAGTTCCTCGCTGCTCGTGAAAGTGCATCATCTAAACTTCATCTGTTTTACTCTTTCCTGTCTGGACAGCAAATTATACAGTGGAGAAAATGTCACCTTTTTTTAAATAACAGATTTTATGCTACTAATAAAAGATAATCAATGAGAGAAATTATTAATAATTAATTTCCTAAGACGATTTACTGCACCAACCAAAGTAGCTAACTCTTTTCCTTGGTTTGAGACGATTAGAGACATGATCATTGCCTTGATCACAGACTCAAACCATCATAAAAATATATTTCCATCCAGGCAGCCAGAAAATTCTTGTATCTTTTAAGGTAGTGTTGATCGATAGTCCTCCAGGCTGTTGAATGCCTGGTGTTTTAGGATTAAAGCATAAAGAGGGTAGGGAGGCTTTAAAACTTGCATTAGTCTCTGGATTTGTAGGACATCACACAAGTTCATGTTGAAGTTTTGAACATTGAGTTCAGAGCAGAGCTCTACATTTCACAGCTCCAATTAGAAACTAGACGGCTGGTGAGAAAAATATCCATGAGGTTGGTGGAATAATTACAGTGAGAGGCAACAGACTGACGAATATTTCTGAGAGAGGATGTTAAAGCTACCAGCTTTTCTACAAAGCATGAGGTGATAATCCAGATATATGGAATAAAAGAATAAACAGCAAATGATAAGTGATTAAATCAGGGTGGTCAGTAAGAAAGGGTTAGAGGGAGAGGAAAAGCAAAGGAGAAAAGGTAAAAATGGAGATGGCTTAGTTGGATGAGGAAAACAAGACGCAACAGAGGCACCCACCTTTCTTGAAGGCACGTGGGGAGTCTGCTAGGTCGCCTTGACGTTAGAAATGACCAACAGAAAAACAGAAGATCAGAAAAGGGGACGAAGAGAAGAAAGAAAACTTAGGTGAGAAGAGAAAGGCAGGATTATCAAGCTCTGTTAACTGATTGACCAAAGAGCTGAGCAGGGAGGAGCAGGAAAATAAATGAGAGAATTTGAAAAACAGAAGCTGTTTCAGAATTGGCAGCCCTGTCTCAGCCCTCTGGGCCGCTGGCTCATATCTTAAACGCTCTTCGGGGGTTTGATTGTAATTTGCCTTCCTTCTTGCTGGAAGTATTCCATCCATCATTTTTCTCTCTCCTTAAGGAGTCAGTCTTTTGTTTGTGATGAAAAATGAAGCCCAAACTGTTCATTTTCCCCTGAAGCGACTGGCTGCAGCTCAGCTTGATCTGAACGGTGGAGCTTTGTTAAAGGCTCGGCCTCGGGGAAACGTGGAGACGCAGATAAGCCTCGTGCCTCGACTCCACCACACGTTCTCATCAGTTTACAACACACTGGCAGCCCTTCTCTGTCAGCGAGCAGCGGCTGTGACGCGCTCCAACGCCAGCGCCCTTCAGAAACACTTCAGTGTGAGACCGGCTGCACCTGCAGCCACAGTGTTGTTCCTCATGCTGCATACCTTCTGGCTCCGGGCGGGACCCCAGGGAATGGACCTGGATGGGCCGGTAGGGTTTGCCCTCAGAGTAGGGGATTACCACGCCCTCCTCCGACGGCACAGTGACATCAGGCTGTGATTCAGAGATGGAGGACAGGAACTGGTCCATGTCAGCCTTCTGCTCCTGGAGCAGCTCGTCTGCAGAAGAACAAATAATATCCTTGTCAGCCTCCAGGTGTGGTAATAATCCTTCCAGTAATGCTTCATTCAAAAAACAGATTCATTACTTTGTATTTAAGAATCAACACATGAAGAAAACGGTGCATTAAGTGCATTTCTTCCTAATTCAATTGTTTTCTGAGATTATTATTATAACTAAGATTATTATAAGTAATGTGACATAATTTCCATATTTATTGTATTGTATTGTATATTTTTTTGATCAATCTATTTAAATACCAGTGATGATCCATTTCACTCATTAATGGATTTATCCTGATCTGATCATCAAGAAGATTGCTGCTTCCTCTCTGTCCTTTTAAACCGACATCCACATGATTTAGCTCGTTAGCTTTTACAGTTTGTTTCTAATTGCCCCCTATTTACTGCTCTAAAGTGTTTTGTAAACAAAGACTAACTGGTTTATTGAGTGCAACATAACCTGAGCTTCTAAAAACAAAAGGCAGATGATTCTGAAAGTAATTCTGCTGTAGAATTTGGACATAGGGCAAAATCACGGTTTTAAGTGAACCACAAAGTAAATCAGGATAAAATCTTTTAATCAGTCTTAAAACTATTTTTCTTTAAACCAAAGTCTAAGAAGTTCTTGGTTTTTAGAAAACAGCAATGAAATTTGTGGCATTTTATAAATGTTACTGATACAGAAATGGTTCAATTTAGGGATTATCAATCAACTCATCTTACAAACATCATTCATTTTTTTGTAAAAAAAAAAATACTGTTTTTAAAATAATCCTCCATCTTAATGTGCAACTTTTAATTTCTTTGTCTATATGTGTTGCCTTTATGCACTTTCCTTTCTTTTTTTCTTTTCTCATGTACAACACTTTAAATTGTCTATATAAATAAACTTGCTTTGCTTAAAATGGTTCTTTTTTCTTGCGTAAAATGATCATCCAAACTACAACCACCGGGAATAAAAATTAACAAGATTTGGGCACACAAATCTGAAAACAATAAATTAGGGCTTAAATTACATATAAAAACTCATCCAGTAATATTTGGATAAATGTCTCTTAGATCATTGCAGAGGAACTGTGATCTGTGATCCACAGGCTTCAGGCATTAGTGAGATGTTTGACCAATTATTCTAATTAGAAAGTTTTGTTGGGATTTTTTGTGTAATTTTTCTGTTAAAATACACATTTCAGCTATTTATCTATTGATCTGAGGCAATGTTTCAGTATTTATCATTTTAATCCTGAGCTGATTGAAAAAACTCTCCATAAATTCATCAAACTTGTGCCTCGCTTTCCTGCTTAGTTAATTCCCTGAAGTGGTAATCTGTATGTTCTTTCAAGTTTGGAAAAAAACAGTTAAAATGAATGATTAATAGCCTCAAATTATTATTTAAGCATATGATGAGTGTTTACATATTTCTGAGTGGAACTATAGAAAGAAAGAAAATCACCAGATACTGTTTTTTTTCTGCCATTTTTCTAAGAGTGGCGCCAGCTTCTGTTCCTGCTAACTACCAATTAGTGTTTCTCTGAAAGATGTTTTTCACAAAACTCAGCTCTGGATTTCCCAAACGAACGCCGCTCAGTGAAAGCTGTGACCCAGTTCTGTCATTACCGTAACTCAACTTTAATTTATGCTTCAACTTTAGAGCTCCCAAATAAAGCAAAGAAAACTGGGGAACATTTTAAAATTCTAAAATTGAGATAACTAGTAAAGCATAAAAGCGAGAGCTCCTGATGGGAATGGCCTTGGAAACAGAAGGGGGGATGTCTTTGTTAAATTTTTTCATCACCAGCTCATGGTGGAAGATAAGACAATGCTGTAGTGTGTCTGAATAATTGGGTCACATCGACACATTTAAACCAACCGTCGGGTCCTTGCTTGCATTTATATTTCATTTTAGCAAGAAGGAAAAAAAAAAGGGATTGCTTCAGATCAAAATAAAAATCCATGCAAGCTGCAGAAAATGAAAGGTGTTGGATTTATCTCCCTGACACGAGTGTGAATTTCATTTTCACTTCATTCTCCAGCCGGCGGCCGGAGGGGCTCAGACTGAACGAGACTCACCAATTTCATCCTGAATCTCCTCGGCCACGTAAGGTACTTTGTAGAGGAGAGATAGACTCTGGTTCATCCTCTCCTCGATCACCCGCAGGTGGGTCATCACCTGAAATCAGGAAAGCAGAAAAATAAGGAGTTAAGCAAACAGAATACTGATGTTTGGGGTTTTAAATAAAGCTAGATCTGTGATTGTGTTATGCAGGTTTTTGAAAGCAAACAACTGATTTCAGAGTCATTAATGAAAGATGTTAGGAGACAAATAAATCAGCCATTTAAATTGCTGTTCATCAAATTCATACTGGAACCTTCAGCTGACATATACATTAACCAGCCTCTGAGGAAACTCACTCAGACTTCAAAATATGTTTTTACTTTTTGCTCAATTTTACTGCTTTTGTAATTAATTGGACACATTTTTTATTTTTTAATTAAGATTGAAAAAACAGTAAATTGAAAACTGAAATAAATCAATGTCCATCAATAGAAGAATGCCGACATGTTTCCTCAATCATATTGAAACCTGCTCACACAGCAGCTGACCGAGCGCTGCAGGAGGGAATTTCTCATGCAGTTGATAAATTTGCACCATAAACATTCAGCTTGACTGAGATCTTGACTATTTGCATGCGTTGATCTGCTTGTCCTGTTTTTTTTATCTCTCTACTTTCTCTCCTCACCTGAACAATGCATCATCTTTCAATCATGATTTTATAGTCATCAGCAACTCACTCAAGATTGATGGATGGAGAAAACGTCGACCTCTGCTGTCACAAAGAGGTGATAATGCCACCTGCCCTGCTACTTTATCTGACGTGCATATTCAACTCCATTCATTTCAAAAATACTTTATTAATCCCCAAGGGAAATTAAATGTTGCAGTAACTCATAAGTTATATAATCACTAAAGGTAAATTTGCTACAGAAGAGGCGTTTTTTTTTTTTTTGTTAGGATACTTTCTTCATTTCAAAGATTTCAGACTAGCACAGGTTCAACCTTCAAGCATTTTGTAGCCAACTTTTTAAAGTAGATATAGAATAGAAATAGAAGGATGGATGATGGACAATAAAACAAAATCTGAATTAATCTTAGAAGAGAAACCTTAGGAATCCCCTCATAAATATGAAATAAATACAAGACAACCACGATCCCAGATGACCGATCTGTTTCTGAACGGGGAGAGGCTGATTCCACCTTGTGATTTTAAAAATGCACAGGTACGGAAATTAACTCTCCAGGTTAGAACATTTTCAACTGGATGAACTCAGGATTGTTCAAGCCTCAAACATGAAACACAAAACAAGCTGAGGCATGTAATATTTTCTTCCCTCAGAGCTCACGTGACAGGATCTGCTGCTTATCAGCTCCAGTCTTCAACCACATCGCAGGCTTAAAAAGACATCTCAAGTTCCAGAAAAGGCTCAAAGGGCATATTTCCTACTGTCTGTCTGTAAAGAAACCTTAAAACAATAATAGACCTTTTCTGACAAAGACTGATCGTCACAAGGTAACAACTGTCCTCAGACAGCTGGTGTTTACCACATGTTTTATCATGCAGTGCCTGAGAATAAGCAACAGGTGGCACCTTTACCATTAGCAGCAGACTGAAGCCTGTGGCTCCTTCCTGACAAACAACCCTCATCAGGAAATATTAAACATCTCGAAGCAAGAGCAGAAATTCTGATGCATTTAGCAATCTCTCTAACTGCAGATATTTGAAGTTGTTATAACACAAGAGCAGATGTAAACTCTCGAAATAAGGGTTTAATAAAGCAGCAATTCTTGCTGATGAGTCACAAAGGAACAACTAACAGTGAAAGCAGGCCCACTTCTACTTTTATTGGAATAAAAACCCTCTATCCTCCCCGGACGCCCATGTTCCAACTCCTTGTTTTGTTTCATCCATCTGTTGTGTTATCTAGAAACTTTAAACGGAGTCAAAGGGCACCAACAGACAGTAATGTGCACAGAGTGGAGGAGATTCCACCCTAATCCCTGCGCCAGCAGCTCAGAGTCCAGCATTACACAAGACCTGTGCCGTGTTAATCTCCAGCTCAGGCTGAAGTGAATGAAACATCCGCCCTCCTCCCGGACTCCAACTCAGAGACACATGCTCTCCATGCCGCCCACACGTTAACAAACAGGGCAGAGAGGTGCACACGGATACATCATTATCCCTGGTCTGTCTGAGCAGCACCAGGAGGAGGACCAACATCAGCTCGCCACACGCTTTCAAATTTATCATGCAGAAATCTCCACACATGACAAAGATCTACATTTTTCCCAGACTAAAATATCCAGAATTTTCTGACATTTTGCAAGGACTGTTGAAAAAAATTCAATATATATATTGGCAGATTTTTCTAAAAGACAGACTTTAAATAGACTGTAAGGATAGTTGGAGATGAACAGATGAAATATCACTTAGACATAACACTGGAATATGGTTATTGTTGACAAGAAGCTTGAAAATGAGCAAACATTCTGTCACAGAATAATACTTTATAATTCCAGTGCAGTTTAGTTTAGTTTATGAAACAAACTTCATGAAATATGCCAGAGAAAATGAGCCAACCAGACAACCACTAGGGCTAAAACATTAAAGATCATGCAAATTAGAAATAAATGTGTGTTCTCAGTTTGTCACACCACAGAAATATGTTTTATTAATCACTCCACCAACTTTGAATGATTAAAAACGAAACTAAACATATAAAATTAGGTCAAAATAATGAAAATATGTCTAGTTCCCTGCCCAGAGATGCTGGGTTGTGTCCATCAGGGTCGCTGAAACGAAGCCCACATGCTATTCTATCTCTCTGCAAAGGTTTTGAAGTAAAAGAAATACAATAAATATAATATCTATACTCTAATATTTTATTCAGGAGGGGGATCAGTTATTGTGGGACTCAGGTTCAATGAGGAGAGTCTCTCTAAATGCAGACAGGCTGCAGCTGCTGCGTCTGAGTCCCTGTGTTCTGGAGGATGGAGGGGCTCGCTCACAAACTGTTCATTGAAGGCATGATGAGATGAGGCTGCATTTTTAGACACACCCAAGAAATCCTCAAACATAGGAATATTGAAACAGAAACTTAATTCTAGAGCTACAGTGTAATCATAAAAGGCGGGGAGACTTTTTACACCTATGTCATTTATAATGTGTTTAGTAGACAATTTACACGGTCTTCAAAGTTGATATTCCAAATTTTTTTTTGCGGTAATCCCCAGGTTAGTTAAGCTAACAGGATAAAACCACCAACCTGAGACTTCATCTGAGCTGCTTTCTCCGGATCCACAGCCAGGACATGTTGGTAGTGGCGGATGGTGTGTTGGCGGTCCTTGTTCTCGGCACGGACGTACTTTCTAAGGGCCTGCAGGATACGGTGGGGCTGAAACACAAATGGTCAAACATCTTCAGGCTCACATTTTAATTTATGAATTCAACCCTTTAAACTGATCCTGGTTAACATCAAATTAAGATGTGTTAAAGGCTGCCAGAAAAAAGGAGAACAATAACCTGGTGCATGGAGCAGAAAACACATTTTTATTGATTTTTTAACATAATCCTGAAATTTGGAAGTAATACTATTTTGATGACAGTTAAAATTTTTGCTTGGGGAAAAAAAAACCCTATTAAATAAAAGGAAATTATAAAGGAAATTATTATTTCAACAGAAGATTTCTAGATTGCAATTTTAACAATTTTTTCTCTGCTCATTGATCTCAGCCAATAAACCTCTAACCTGGGTAACTATGGGCTGTTTGTGATCCTTGGAATGAGCACTTCAAGAATGATATTAATTTTTGGTGCAATGACCTGTTTGGCATTTCAATATATTTTGACCAAAATTCCTTTTAAAATGTAAAATATTAGGAACAACTGAGTAACCTAAGTAAGCTACCCCCATTTATTAACTTTTGGTTCATATATTTATATTTTTTTGTGTGTATACTAGCAATTTGAGCTTATATATATATAGCTTATATATATATAGCTTATATATATATAGCTTATATATATATATATATATATATATATATATGTTCTTCCAAATATATATATATATATATATATATATATATATATACATATATATATATTCATATATATGGAAGAAAAGCAAATTTAGCCGTTACCTTTTTTCTTAAAGATTTTGTTTCTGAAAATACTTGATTTTGCAAAAATCTCGTACTCGTACTCGTACTTGTCGTCTCCCGCTTTATCCGGAACCGGGTCGCGGGGGCAGCAGACTAAGTAGAGACTTCCAGACTTCCCTCTCCGCAGACACCTCCTCCAGCTCTGCTGGGGGAAGCCCTAGGCGCTCCCAGGCCAGCCGAGAGACGTAGTCTCTCCAGCGTGTCCTGGGTCGTCCCCTGGGCCTCCTCCCAGTGGGACGTGCCTGGAACACCTCCCGAGGGAGGCGTCCCGGGGGCATCCGAAGAAGATGTCCGAGCCACCTCAACTGACTCCTCTCGATGTGGAGGAGAACCGGCTCTACACTGAGCCTCTCCCGAATGACCGAGCTCCTCACCCTATCTCTAAGGGAGAGCCCAGCCACCCTGCGGAGGAAGCTCATTTAAGCCGCTTGTATCCGGGATCTCGTTCTTTCGGTCATGATCCAAATTTCATGACCATAGGTGAGGGTAGGATTGCAAAAATCTCCCAAATTAAAATGTATCCAAGGGGCACAGCTTTTCTTTTTCTATTCATCAATTATGTACAATTAGTAATTGATATGTTCAGAAAATCTGATTATTAATCTCTGTTTTTTATGTCTCCTACTTTATTGCTTCCATACCTGAAGAAACCCCCCGATTTCTGACTCCTTAATACTACAGAAGGAGAGCTGAGCCTTAAACTGGCGTAAACGAGGGCTCTTCTTACCCTGGGAGGGTCCGCCTGCAGGGCAGCCAGGTAGTTCTCCAAGGCTATGCGGCGGCGGTCGTTCAGCATAGCCTCCACTCGGGCGAGGTGAGTCTCCACCAGCTGCTGCTTCTCGCTGGCAGCCTCCTCCTCCAGGGACTCCACCATAGCTTGGAAGTGCTAAAAGCAATGCCGCAAACATTAACAGATAAGGATATAGAATGGCACTCATTTTATTTCCATTAAAGTTCCAGCCTTCCTGCCTTCAGGCCATCTAAAGGGAGACTCATTTAGACATCTCCCTACTTAGACAATGTCCTAATTTAGAGTTAGAGTGGTAAAGATAGAGCAGCCAGGAAATAGGATAATTACTGGAGCAGAGACTCTGAGCCTGTGAGGTGTCATATCTGACCCAAACAAAGTGACAAAGGTGGAGGATGGGGGGGCTCCCAGAGGAAGGATCTTGGACTTACCTGGATCAGCGTCTGTCTCTCAGCCTTGGGCAGGTTCTTAGCCTGCCGCTCAGCCTCTTCCCACTCCTTCCTTACCTGCAGCACAGACATTTGCAGAAAATCTGTTTCATTTTCTTTAGTAAAAGAAAGAAAAACAAGAAAGCTATCTTTTTTTGGTAAAGGATAAGTATGGAGAATTTTTACAAGTCATTATAGTAACTTTCTAAGCTCCCTTTGAAAAATAGAAATGCAACACCGCTTACAAAAATAAAAACTAAAGTTTAACTTTGCTGCTTTAGTAGACTCTCTGTTTCAAAGCAGAAGATTTTTAAAAAAGCCAGTAAGTGCACTAATTGTACAGATTTGGCCCGCTCACCCTCTCCATGCGATTATGGTGCCTTATCTCCAGCTGCTCCTTGGCCTTCTGGAAGCGGCTGTGCTCTTTGTCGTCGGCAGGAGTCTCAAAGTAGATGTCCACATCGTCGGTGGGCTGAGGAGTCGCCGGCACAGCTGGAAATTCAGAAAAAAAATAAAATAAAAGTGAATTTGGAAAGTATTCACATAAAAAGAGATGAAGGCAGACAGGAAGACAAAAAGAAACAAATGAAGGCACAGCGAGAGCGAGGGAGCTGAAATGGGGGAGAAAGATTTGTTACTCAGAAGCACTCCTTTCATTGGCGTTCCTCCACCCACAGTAAGGCTGATATGTTTTAGGGAATCTGACAGTCTTTCAGTTCAAATTTTCCTTCATCTCCTCATCGGCTTTCAGCTGACAAGCCGCGTCTCCGGCGCTAATGGAAACATCACCGTTTTTGACAGTTCGGTTGACAGGGGCGTTATAAGTTGCCTTTTTTTTCTAGGTTCTTCACTATAAAGTTTCCCCACCTGCATCAATGCAAGTCACCAAAACAACAGCGCCACCGGGTCGAAAACAGGAACAGACCTCATCACGTCGCTAAAGCATCAAAACCAGTAGGAGAAAGAGTTCCCGCTCCAAATGCCTCTACTTTATAGTCTTCCTTTTGCTTTTAAATGTAACAAAATCCAGTTGGATAACTTCCTGAACTATGTTTGCCCTAATAAAAGTGAATTACATAAAAAAAAAATAAAACAAAACAACAAGAAAAAACCAAAAAAACAACAGATACATAACGACATCCTGGTGGATTTCTATAAATAATGGCAGTGCTCTGTGAGCAAAAGCAACAAAGAAACATGGAAAAATGTTACAAAACAAACAGACGGGGAAACAAAAATGACAGGAAACATAAGAATAAGGGTTGAAAGCATGCATGTAAACACAGACTTTAAAAAAGCTGAAAAAAAAACAAGAAAAACATTTTTAATATCAAGCTGGGGCTCAATGTATGACTGGGTCAGAGTTTTGACGTTACCCTGCAAGCTATCTTCCTTTGTTCTACTGAGGTTTTAGATGCAGAAAATAAAAACAATCTATTAAGACTTTACATCTAGCGTGGTGCCAAGTAAAGATCTAACATCATAAAATATGTTGGGATGTGAAAAGAGTTTAGTTTCAGGTTAAGGTAATGCCTCCACAGGTTTGAAAATGGGCTTTTATGCAGGTGGATATTTTATTTAAGGTAGATTAATCTGTGTTTTCTAGTTTACAGTCTATTTTAAACAACTCTAATCTGAGAAATGTAAAACAGTTCATGTACTCTACTTTACCCTGACTTGTTTGCATTAGATGCTAAATTATGTAGAAGTCTTCTCCTGCTACCTTTAAAAAAAAAATCCTTTAGATCTATTAAAACCTCTGTTAACTGTTGTTCAGTTTAAGGATATAAATGAGCACCTATGCAGCTTGCGACTGCTGTTAACATGAGTTTTTTCTTCCTTTTTATAGATTTAAGCTTTTAAGTTTTTAGTTCTATCACCTTTTTTTAAATATGAAAATTACTGCAGTTTTTCAGTGTTTCATTTTTTCCTAGTTTTGCACTCTTTCTTTGACATGTTTGAAATAAACCACTTTATTATTTCTCTGTTATTTTGTTCTTCTGAAATTTGTTAACCTTATATTTTCAACATGTGTGTGCACTGTGCACTCTAGCATTCATAATGTTGGTCTGAATGCTAGAGTGCACAGAATGCTTAACCTGATAACATGAAGACGCCGACTACATTTGATTGCAAAGGATTTACATTTATCTATTAATCTGTCTTGCCTGTAAAGCAGGTTTTTTTTAAGATACAAGAAAAATTAGCTCAATCTTTTTTAATAGTAATATCCATAAAATATAAACAGGTAAAAATATGTATGATGAAATTAAAGCTGCTTTGAAAAAAAATCTTGGGTAATAAAACTAAATTTTATGATAAGGAACACTTTATCAATGTAGTTAACTATTAGAAATTAGCATTATGTGAGTCGAATGTGTTGTTCTAAGACTTGGGGTGTAAAAAGAAAAGGAGAAACAGATGAAATTAAATTGGTGTATAGAAGGTTAGATGATTTTAGAAAGTATGATGAAATCATTAGTGCCCAGAGGTGTGTGAGTTCTTCTAAATCAGAGAAAAGCTAAACCTAGAAGATCCTCGGGGGTTTTCAGGCCGACAGACACAGAGAGGAAGGCGCAGCCACACAGGCCTCTGTCACGTCAGACTTACTCAGGCGTTTGCACACAGCAATGCAGTACTCCTCGGAGTCGAAATTGTTGCGGTTGCCAGCACAGCCACCGTATATGAAGCGAACGCACTTCCTCAGGCTGACGTCGAAGTGCCAGCGAGGCATGGAGGCACGACAGGGGCCGGTCTCAGCCTCCAGAGTGCACACGGCTGCCGGGGGATAGCTTTGTTAGATCATCAGGCCTCTACAGGCCTCAGAAAGCTGCCAGCAAACACTCATCATGGCTAAATCTATAACCACGGCCAATTAAAAATAGTGGGGCAGCCGTTTTTTACTTGATCAATGGAACACAGAGGGCAGGGTGACCTGAAATGTACACTGATGAGTTGTGAATTAAGGCAAATAATAATATAACTTTGAGCCTCCATTTACAAATTAACAGAACATATGTGATAATACTGAAGAAATTATTAATTACCTTTTACTTCTTCTAAAATCTTGTCATCATCGAGTTTCTCTGATGATTTGCTGCTTTCTTTCCTCTGCTCCTCATCATCTCTGTCCGACTCCTCATCTTCATACACATAGTGGTACTCCTCCTCATTTTCCTCCTCCTCCTCCTCCTCCTCCTCCTGCTGCTCCTCATCTTCATCTTCATCCACAGGCTCCTCCTTCTGAGTGGGTTCCTCGTCCGCCGGTGTTTCACTGAGATATGAAAAAAGGATGGAGGATATAAAAATAATCTACATTTAGATGAAAACATATATCTGCCCTTAACAACACAGCAGATACTGTGTTGATATTTCATAATCATGATCTCAATCAGTTTGCATACATACAGAAATTCCTACAGGACACAAAGGAAGTCATTTCAAAATCTGGGGTAATGGACTGCATCTTTTTGCTTCTGTTGGTTAAAAAAAGCTGGACCAATTATATTCTGAACAATATATAATGAATACAAAAAAAAAGTTAAAAACAATCCACTGGACTCTGTTTCCAAGTCTAAAGACGTTTTGCTTCCCATTCAAGGAGAGCGGAGGACCTCGCCTATTCAGTCAGGCCAACAATCCCCTTTAACAACCCCCCTTTCAGACACTTAGACAGGTATGGGGCATTGCAGGCTAACCGTTCGTCCGTTCCAGTTTGCATGTTTTCAAAACAAAAACAAGGCTTTGTTGAGCTACTGTATAAAACCTCAATGTTATTCTGGACATTTTGAATTGAAAAAAGTTCCAGGATGGGAATGTCTTAAAATTTGGCAACAAAGTCCAGTGGAGTGTTTTTAACCTTTTTTTGGAATGACTATGACCCAAATGACTGAGAACCTTCACCAACGATAAATAATGATGTTTTAGACTCCTGTATTGAACTGTTTCCATTTACCGGAGCGTTAGGCTGAACTACATCACACCTTAAGAACTATGACCAGTGTTCATGTAAAGCACCAGAATTTCATACCAAATAATTGTTTATAAGGAAGAAGGAATGCATTCAGCCAAAAGAGACCTGCTTCATAAGAATTTAAAATCCATCTTTGACAGGTTTACCATAGATGACAATTTGTTTTTCTGAACTTTGTACTTGGTAAAAGGCATTCAGAAAATAAATGATCTCCTGGACATTAAATTGGGTTATATAACCCCATTAGATTATAGTCCCCAATGTTCAATACTCTGAGCCTTCACTGATGCTTTTCTGTTAAAATGGATTAACTGTGGCCCTAGTGTAAAGAAAATATTACTAATATTTGGGACCCTAAAACAGTTAATAATTCTGTTTGATTTTCCAGCCCGACACCGAGAATTTCAAACTTTTGATTAGTCAAATGCACCACAACTCCTGCTACTTCACAAGAAGCCTGACTCTGTTTTTTCTGCAGCCGATACTGAGCAGCCAGGACCTCAAAGAGCACCAGGTGTTAGATTACGACGCAACACCTGTGACTCCATTAATCTGGCATCATCTTGGCATCCTGGTAAAAATAACAACTTCTCGGTCGGATTTAAACTTTGAATGCTTTGAAGTATGAACTTCTCTCTCCTTGACTCCAGATATCAAGCATCAGTTAGAAGTTGCTACTTTTCAAGGTGAATTAGTGACAGATATGTCATTGCTGCAGCGGTTTCACACATCTGAGCCAGGCCACAATTTTTAACAAGACAAAAACAAAGCTTAGGGCTTAGTGGCTGTATTTTCAAATGTGTCTAAATAAACTGAATGTGAGAATGTATCACCAAGTGCTACTGTGCATCAAAGCAAAGCAAGTAAAAATTTTTCATGAAGGAAGAAGGCAGACTTAATTTTTGCTATTATACTGCCAGCTAAACTTCACAGTACTGTGCAATAAATGACATTAAATTTGACCAATTATTCTATTCTTCCAACAGGGATATGTACAGCCTGATATGTATAACCTTTACTTAAGGAACATTCTTTCGATCCAGAAAACCTGGTAAATTATAGACCTATATCTAATCTTCCTTTCTTATCTAAAGTTCTTGAGCAAATAGTTGCTAAACAAGTGTGCGACCACTTACACCATAATTAACTTTTTGAAGAGTTTCAGTCTGTCTTTAGAGCTCATCATAGCACTGAAACAGCTCTGGTGAAAGTCACTAACGATATTCTCATGGCCTCAGATAATGGACTTGTATCTGTGCTCGTCCTTTTAGATCTCAGTGCTGCATTTGATACAGTTGATCATAATAATCTCTTAGAAAGACTTGAATATTTTGTTGGAATTAAAGGAACAGCACTAGACTAGTTTAAATCGTATCTATCTGATCGATTTCAGTTTGTTCACGTTAATGACAGATCTTCCACATGCTCAAAGGTTACATGTGAAGTACCACAGGGATCAGTGCTAGGACCAATTCTCTTCTTTATATATATGCTCCCAATTAGTAGAATTATTAACCAGCATGGGGTTAATTTCAACTGTGATGATACTCAGTTATATCTGTCTATAAATCCAGATGAAGCTAACCCATTACATAGATTGCAGGCATGTCTTAAAGGTTGAGGCTGCAGCTCAAACTGAGCCTGGTTTCTTCTGTTAAAAGAGAGATTAGCTTCTCTACTGTCGCTGCATGCATGCTTGGCATGTGACATTGCTGTAGCATCAATTATAAATAACACTAAATATCAACTAGGGCCACAAGCTCATCCAGATGGGGCTAATCCTGCAAAATCAATGACTCGATGCAATCCTCTGTTTTTTCCTAGATAGAAAACATTTTACTGATCTGACTATATGATCTAACAAAAAAGTCTCTGTAAAGTGCTCTGAGATGTGTTATGTGTTATGAATAAACTAGACTAAATAAACTAAATTAAATTGTATCAATGACTGGGTTATACTGGATTGTATTTAATTATGACTAAAGTATGCATATCTGTACTGATTTTAACTAGTCACTACTGGTTTAACTGCCAGTATTAAATTAAACAGGAAAAATGTTAACTTTGTTGAACTATTTGCCATCATCTCCAGGGTAATTATTTAAATTTGCAGATGGAAATTTAACGCATAAAAAAACTAGGAGGGAATAATTATCATTAATTTGCACACTGTTATAAAACTAACGTAATCCTGTTTAACTTCTCCTTGCATGAAGGTTTAATGGATAAAGATGCAATCAAAGCTGCTGACCTCTCCTCCAGAGCAACACTGTCACTCAGGTCGATGTCCTCGTTCTCTATCTGCTCTTCTTCGTCATCATCCTCCTCTTGGGAGGGCAGGGAAGAGGGGGCCAACTCCCCGGAGCGAGAGGCAGGGCAGCAGACGTATTCTGTGCCGTGGAACTTGTCAATGTCGCAAGGCAGCAGCATGCCATAACTGTGAAGCACCATGGAGCTCCTGGAACAGGCCTAAAAGAAGGGTCACAGGACTACTGTAAAAGATATAAACACCCTTATTGTTGCCATTTTTTAGTCTGGAGGTCAAACTGTTTTCTAAAGTCTGGTTTTTTTAAACTGCTCCTTGCTTTCCTTTTCATTTCCAGAAAAAAAAATGCATTTCTATCCCCCAACCAAACACCTGAAATGAATAAAAACAGTGCATGTGCTCAAATATTTTTTGCTTTCTGCAAAGGGACCATCACAAGTTAGTTTATAATTATAAAATGGAAATAAAGTTTGGAAACATCAACATGAGAAAATATGAAAAATACTGCAAATTTTCATTCAACCTTCCTGATCCCATACTTTGGCCACCCTCGGCTAAGATACAGCTGTTATTCTTTAGGAATAAATCCCAAAATTGCACAAGTTTGGTTAGATTTGAGAAAAAACATAGGTGAAAATGGATTTTAGAGTTAATCTGTTGATTTAGTCACCAACTTTGATTGACCCACACAATAGATGATTACACTTTGTTTCTATGGTGGTGGTTCTGGTGGTGTACTGTGGGTCACTGGGCTGCATGAAGATGAACCTCCGTCCCCGCCTTGATATTTTCATAGACACTTAACAGGTTTTCTCTCTAACCTGTTCTATATTTAGTTCATCAACTTACAATCCATTTTGACCAACTTCCTTGCTGATGTTGAAGTAAAGCATTGCAAAGCATGATGCCACCACCTCCGTGTTTCACTGTAGCTGCAGTATATTGAGTACAAGTTCTTCTTCACATATAGCTGCTTCTACTAGAAACCAAAACAAAATGTTTTGATTTTATCCGAAAAGATCAATTTCTGTTTAACATTCAGCAAGTTATAAGCTGAATTTCTCAAGGTTTTCTTTAAACAACAGCCTTCTCTTTGTCAATCTATTAAAAAAAAACATCATATTTGTGGAGCGCGTTGCTAACGGTTGCTAACTTTCCAAAGATTCTCCAAGGTGAGTTGCCATGCTGGCCATACTCTTTCCCCTATTTGGATTATGGATTGAGCAGAACTCTACAAAATGTTCACAGCTTGGGATGCTGTGTTTTTAAAACAACCCTGCTAATCTTTTCGACTCATCCAACGTGTCCCTTGCGTTCCAGAGAACGTCTAATCAGGTGATTTCTGTAGGAAATTTGTTACAGTGAACTCTGTTTTGAGGGTACTAAAAGTATCAGTTCCTCTCCTAACTTTACGTAGCTGTGCACACATATCTGTTGGTCTACCACAGGAAATAAAGTCTATGGTTTTAATGTAACAAAATTTTGAAAGGTTAGAGGGGATTAAACATTTAGCATTGTCCTGTATGTTAACTATTCCACATTTTCACAAAGTCATGTTGTTCCTTAGGTGACCTGCTGTCTAAGAACATGTTCCGTCCTCTAGCAGCTGGAAGGTATCAGATACAAGCTCAGTTTGAAACTCCGCCGGATCAGAGCAGGATTAGCTGCCCAGAGCAGGTTGCCAGACAAAATTCATTGTTTCCCTGATTTGTTTCTCAAATTTTCCCCACTATAAATGCTTAAATATAGGTATACTTTGCATTAAACCATGTGCTGAAGAAGATGGAAGCAGAAGTTTGAGGAGAGCTTCTGTCATGGTCAAAATGGGCTAACTCTGGAGCTTCCTGAGGGGGATTAGCAGCTTCACAGCCGCAACACGAATCTGATTAGAGACTCTCAGTCAGCTCTCTGATCACTGAAACTCCAAATGAGTGAAAAAATATATTCAGAGGCAGGTGGAAAATAAAAAATTGACATATTATGGATGTTTGGGAAATTTTTGCATTTAACATCTAATAATTAAAATATATTCCTTTTTAAACAGCCATCTATCATTTTAAGGTTCAGAAAAAATAAAAATTTATTTTGTGGGTCCTAAGCTTCATGTGGATGTTTTCTTTGGTAAACTTTTCATTCACCTGTTGTTTTAAAAGTAAAGAAATATTTCATCTTTATCTCCTTCTAAGTTTAACCTATGATTAAAAAAGAAGGGATATTCAATTCTACTTTAAAAGAAATGCAATAATGAACAGAATTCTGTCAATTAGTTTACTAACTTTAGAAATCTAATTTATTGTAGCTACCTCCTAATATTGACTTTCTAGTGAAAAGGAAACTTTTCCATTAGTCACTCAAAGCATTAACAGGCAGTGAAACAGTAAAACTGAAGCTTTTCAGTTTTTCAAAGCCGCCCATATTAGTTACAGCCACTTGAAATGTTGACCTTAAAAAAACCTTCAGGATAGCAGAGGAATGGACCCACAGGGTTTAGTGGGTTTAATATGTAATGAAGGAGTGCAGCTAGTTTATTAAGTAACCAAAGTTTTTCAGTGGAGAGGAAAACTCCCTTTTGACAGGAAGAAACCTCCAGGAGAACCTGGCTCAGTGTGAGTGGCCATCTGCCGAGTCCGACTGGGGTTAAAGGAGACAGAAGCAGATGAAGACATAAACTAAAGAAGTTATTTGGCGCTCAGGCCCTGGCAGAACTCTTCGATGTTGTGAATCAACATACACTTGGAAGAGTAACCTAGAAAAGGATTAGCGTACTCTTCCCTCATGGCCCAGACACTGGTGTTGGAATAACCCAGAAAATGAGTTGGACTGAGACTGAGGGAGGAGATGGGGTGGAAGTTGATGAAGGTTCGCTTCCATGTGGGAGAGAGAAGCTGGCACAGGACCTAAATGAAGGGGATCTTGCAAGATGATTGGCTTCGGAGAAGGTGTAGCCCCCGAGTTGATTGGCTGGAGGTGAACGAGGGACATCAGGTGAAGATTGAATTTACGCTTCAGCTTCATGTCTTGCTTCAAGTTTTTTAATTAAAATAAATAGTTATTTTTATATATATATATATATATAAAATGTAAATTTACAGTGATTTCATCTTTATAACTCACTGTCACCATTTATAAGACGATTAACAAGGGGCCTTACGGGAAAAGATTTTTTTTGTGTGTGTAATAAGCCTGCAGGGGCTGTGTAATAAGCCTGCAGGGGCTATGTTACCACACAAAATGTTTTTTTTTCAGGCAAAAAGTTACTAGAAACTTGCAAAGGTGTAAAAGTCATGATGCCGTTGGTGTTATTTAGCTCTTTGTCGTTTGGTATTAAGCCCTAACAGCTGCCACACGTCTGTAGAGAGACTACATTTAAAACCTGACAGTGTCTGACCTATGTGTTTTTATATCAGCTTCTTGAAAGGATTCTTATCATAAAAATCTGATATTCTCATGTATTTAAATAATGTTCAAGCTGAAACTATTGAAAATAATGAAGGAATGAATAGGTGCATCTTTATTTTATATGAATACTAAATAAATGAAAAGATAAACATTTCTTTAAATCGTTTTGGTCTTTCATGTACCAACACATCATGTATTTAATCCATTTATCTTTAAAAGTGTACTGTTTAGAACAGGAGCTAATTATTGTCAAATAAAAACAGAAATACATTCAACTAAACATTGAGAAATTTCTTATTTCAATGAACTGAAATGTGATGTTTTTTCTGTACATTTATAAAGTAAGAGATTTGATTAGAATGTTTAAATAATAATTAAATTCAATATCAATCCTTATTTATTGACTGATTTATTCTATTGATTGTATTTCTGTTTATGTTCTGTTCCAAAATTCTTATAATAGAGGAGAGAATTAAATCCCAAACGTTTTATTGTGTCCCCATATGAACTTTTATCTAATTATTTTATACTTAATTATGCAATCCTGATGAATCTTTGACCACAACAAATCCAAGACTTTAAATGAAGACTTAGAAAACTGTGTCAGTGAGTTAAAAGTATAAACTTCTCCTTGAATCAGAGTGTGACCAGGCAGATAAAGGTTTGGAGTAAATCTCTGAAGACTTGCTGCTCCTGCCTCCCTCTTCTGACAGCTTGAATCCCCTCTGACAAACTTCCCACTTCTTCCGATGAACCGGCCCCCGCCTTACCTCTTTGGCCACGCCGTGCCACTGCTGGTGGCTGACGCACATGTCCTTACGCTCCTTGTGGAAGAACTTGCATTTCTCCGGAACCAGAAGAACGTCACTTACAAACTCGCCCACTGAAAGAGAAAAAATGTACACAGACCAATATGGCTGTTAGTCACAGCACCAATCTGTCTCACAGAAAAATTCATTCCTCAAAAACATTGCCAGAGTTGAAAGCAATACATCACTTGATACGACTAAAAAGGGATGATGAGAATATTCAATAATTCATAGCTGCCTCGTACTTTAATTTTCTCCACTGAGGAATAAAAGACGACATTTGACATTTGCACCTGTGTGAGTCCAAAACTAAAAGGGATTATCCTTACTGTTTAGCTGCATCTGCAATCAGAAAGGCAGTGGAGAAAATCCGTTTTCATACTGTGACTCTTGTTCTGCAGTCAAAACTCTTCCTGGGACCCAATGATATCATTTTCTTGATGATTTATATTCAGCCATGTTTTATTCATGGAGCAGGAAGATGAATCCGAAGGAAATAAATGGCTTGAAAGGCATCTTGTGGCTCTATGAATAGTTTCAGGCTGAAATCTGCACAGATCTAAATATGGAGCAGGGGTCCTGATGAAGATGAAATGGTTAGCTGGCATGGAGACAGGCTGCTGAGGTACTGTACAGAGCCTTACAGAAGTAGCCGGTCCTCTTGGCTTATCTATTATTACATTCTATCCTTTAGTGTTTTTCAGTCTTATGATCTTCAATCTTGTAATAGATTTGCTAAAACAGTTTATGATTGAGAAGTGAGATTATAAATGCATGTAAAAAAAAAAATAAAAATTAAATTTGGTACTTTGGAGTTATGGAGCCACCATGCCATCATAACGTATCCTTTTTTCAGGTGATCAAATGCAGCATTTTAATGCTTTATCTGTAGGTAGTAATAAAAAATCAATAGCAAAAATTATGTTTCAAGAGGTATTTTTGACAGTTGACTTGAAAATGAATTTTAGGTATGAGTCTGTGGGTTTAGTTTTAGGTATTAGTCCAGTAAAGATGGGGCTAGTAAACAGAAGATGCGTGTGAATCCACAACACCTCCTTGATTCACAATTTAAGATGGCTCACAGAATATTTATTTTCGATAATGATATGTAAAAGGAAGTTTGATTTTATAAGGTTAGAGTGGTGGCCTAAATTTGCCGGACGAGCGAGCACGAGCGAGCGAGGCAAGCACTATGGCACAGGCAGTCACCACAAATCACATCATTGTAGTATTGTAGTGCTACAAGTAATGATTATTTAGGAAATCAATTTATCTGTTGATTATTTTTTCAAATAAAGAAGATTTTTAACTTAATTACACCAGGTGAAACTCCACCTGAGGAATTCTGGATACAGCATCTTCACAAACGGAAAGGTTTTTTTAATCTTAAATGAAATGTTTACATACACACATATATATATATATAAAATTCATTTTAGATTACTGCTCTAAGTGGGTTGCTCTGTAAGCTAAAGGCATATTTTAGAGTCTCTATACTCCAGTTAACGATTAATTGATTACTAAATTAGTTTAGGATTATTTCCATAATCCATTAATCATGATTAATCTCATTCATTGTTTCAGCCCTACATTGGTTAATAAAGTCTACCTGTGTGCAGCCTAGGAGTCTCATGAACTGCCAGTATTTTCTGTACTGTTTTCTGTAAGGCCTCAGAGGCAGCAACACATTATTAAGCAAGGGGCGTTACACCCTGAAGACTAACTTTCAAAAAGTCAGGGACAAGAACAGAGAGAAGAGTAAGTCTGGGTGGGGCTTTGAAAAATATCAGAATCTCCTTATGTTCCCACCAGAGCATTGTCAAATCCATCATCTTCAAATGGAAAGCGCATGATACCACAGGAGACCAGCCAAGAGAGGACCGCCCACCTAAAACTCACAGACAGGGCAAGGAGGACGGTAATCAAAGAGGAAACATGAATACCAATGCTCACCCTCAAGGAGTTTTACAGCTAAGACAGTTACCCGTGCATAAGAGCACAATAAGCCACAGAGCTAAGCTTTATGCATGAGTGTGTGTGTGTGTGTGTGTGTGTGGGGGGGGGGGGGGGGGGGGGTTGGGGGGTAATAATAAGCAACAAATCCCATCATTCCAAGAACAACAACTTAAAGGTTAAGTTTAGTGGTGGCAGAGTCATGCTGTGGGGATATTTTCAACAGCAAAAAAATGAGTCAACACATAATGTTGAAGCAACAATTGAGTTATTCAAGGGGAAACTAATTGGAACGGCCTAGTCAAAGTCCAGATCTTAATCCAATTGATAATCTGTGATCAGACTTAAACTATCCAAAATGTTGGTGCTAGAGTACTTTTGTGAAGACCAATCAAAAAAAGTACAGCTGTAATTTCTGCAAAAAAAAAAAAAAAAACAACCAAAAAAGGTCAGATTGCAAATTACAGAAATTATTTTCAGCAATGCATGCTAGTTTTTTGTGTGTCCTATTAGTTGTTTGCTTCACGATACACAATATAATCCTTAGTAAATGTATTGGAATGTTCTGCAAATTAAATGTTGTAAACTCTCAAACAATCCATTTATTTCTATATTGTGAGGCAACAAAACATTAAAAATGACAGGAAGGTAAATACTTTAGAAGTTAACAGTAAAGATGTCAAAAACAAATGGAAAAATCAAGCAGAAGACAATGGATGGACATGTGAGGGGCTGAGAATTTTCAAAGAGTAGGCAGAGGCAGAGAGAACTTCTTATTTAGTGGCTGGCCACAACCTTGGACTGAGGGAACACTGCTAGAGCTAAGGAAAAGCCAAAATGGCCTTCAAGGATGATGGGGAAGGCTGTGTTTTGGAAAATGAGAGGGTAGGATAGGAAAAGGAGAGAGCTGGAAATAGCAGAGGGCTCAGCAGCTGCTTCTAATCTCTGTCTGGGAGGTACGGTTACAGAAACAGACAACATGTAGACCTGGTCTTATCCTGCTTTATATCAACCACTGATGCAAAAAACAACAGATTGCTTCACAGATTGGGAAACTGTCAATTATTAGTTTAGCTATCCTGCAAATAATGTGTCTCCAGCTCAACAGGAGGAAGCCGTAATTTTCTATCATTGCTGATAACATGTCATATTTTAATACATTTAGTAAAGAGGGTTGTAAGCCGAAGTGTACACCTCCAGAGACAAATTCCAAAAGTTCTTGGTCGGCTTTTGTATCTTGCTTCCCAAGTTTATGATGGTATAGAAGAAATTGAAAAGTGTATTTTCTAATCAAACTTCATCCTAAATAACATCTTTCTTTAGCTTCAAAACACATGAGAGCCTGGGTGCAATTTGGAGGTGTGTGAAATTCTTCCTGACTGGAAGTTTTACTCTAGATTTAAATCCTATTAGCAGGGGCTCCTGTACATGATGTATTATTAACTGACCAGGAGATGGCAGATTGCTGCAGCCACTTGTTCAGAGCCTTTTGATTAAGATCAGAACAATGTCAGGTCACAAAGCACATAGTAGCTGTCTGCCAAGAGCTTTAGGATAACCCACTTGGAGTGCTACCAGTCTGCTGTGGTTCTGATTCAGGTTTTAGCCTTGACATGACCCAAGCATGGCCAATCCTGCTCCAGATATTCTTAATACCAGACCAGCAAGTTCCTCCATGTCTGACAAAGAAGCTGAATCTTCTGTAACTAAAGTAATAAACCACTTTGGAGGTTTTGTGTATTTTCAAAGCAGTTAAAGAACTCTGATAGGCTGTAATGCCTAACAGTAAATCTGGGAGGTTCTGGAACCACATCTGGCTAAAACAAAATAAATAGTGTCTTTTTTAAAGGAGGACAGTCTGGTGAAAGAATTTATTAAGATGTTCCAGATCTGAACAAAAAAAGACCAACACTATCATAGGACCACCAAAATTTTTGACCATCTGAACAAGGTTATTTTCACAAAATATTATGTTGATTTTTTCCAACAAGTAGCAAAGTTTCGTTTTTATCTGGTTAGTCCCAACATTATTGTTGATGATGCTTTCTGAAAAATGGGAGGGGGTTTTAGGGTTTCTTTGTCTTTTAATCCTCCTAAGGATTCTCTTCCTTTATTTTTGAATCTTAAACAGACATTAACGTAATAATCAAAGCTCTCCTGGAGTAATTCTAGTAGGCAGCTCACTTCTGGGAAGGTTCACTACTCTTTCATGTTTGGTCCATTTGTTGACAGTAGATCACTTTACTGGGGTCCCATAGAATATTGAGGAAGAATTCAGTCCTAGCTATCCATATCATGCTCTGTGACTCCAAACCAGTCATTGTGAAATCTTTCCACTTCCTGGGAACTATCATCTCACAGGACCTACAATTGGAGCTGAACATCAACTCCCTCACCAAGAAAGCCCAGCAGAGGATGCCCTTCCTTAAAAAAATTCCACCTGCCAAGGACAATGATGGTGCACTTCTACTCCTCAATCACTGAATCCATCCTCACCTCCTCAATCACCATCTGGTACGCTGGTGCCACCGCCAAGGACAAGGGCAGACTGCAACGCTTCATCTGGTCTGCAGAGAAGGTGATTGGCCGCAATCTTCCATCTCTCCAGGATCTGTACGCCTCCAGGACTCTGAGGCATGCAGGGAAGATTGGGACTGATCCCTTGCACCTCAGCCACAAACAATTTCAGGCACTTCCCTCTGGCAGGAAGCTGTGGACCATCGGGACCAAAACCTCACTCCACAAGATCAGTTACTTCCCATCTGGTACCAGCCTTTTCAACAAGGCCCAGAGACCCCCGTGACATTGACACTGCCTCTCTCCCTTCCCCGTTCAAGACCTAGTAGCTACACTAACGTGGCATCTCTAGATCTCCAGCGTTACATTAACTCACAGCCTACTGTATATATAGTACATAGCTATATACTATGTATTATATATATAATAGATTTTATTTGTAATGCACCTTACATTTCAAAGAAATCTCAAAGTACTACAGAGACCAAAAGAAGAAGAAAAAAACAAAGACAAAAATAATAACAATAGTAATAATAAAAACAAAGAACAAACTGTAGGGCTTACAGCAATACATCCTACACCGAGCGGCACCAAAAACCAACAA